GCTGCACAGCAGCACACCATCTTCCACTTGACTTCCCTGCTGGCTAGGCGCTTTCATATTTATGGGCTGATTAGGCTACCTTGCCAGACTTCCTGTCTGGGGATTGGCCAAATTCCCATAGATATGCAGATCAGCACCTTCTGACCTCCACCCACTAGCTCCTAGAAATGTCTTCAAGCTTCTAGAACCAGGGGGAGGTTCCAGAGGCCTGACCTGTAGAGCCCTCCAACCTGACTAAAGTAAACCCACTAACTCACAGTGAGGCTTCTAATAATCCTCTATATTACAAAAACTATGCACACCAGACAGTGCTACACATTTTTCAAAAATATTTTTGCATTTCACAAAAAAACGCTACTAAAATAAAGCATGAGCTATTTTATCAAAATGAAAAATGCTTATGAAAGCATTTGGAATTTCATCTCATGACTATATTTAGTGGAATTGATACAGTGGAAAGGATTAGAACCCCTGTCAGTTTTCATTGCTAATAAAGAGGGTAAAATGGTTTAAACTATAGAAATCTGCCAATTTACTAAGTCAGTGCGGTCTCTGCAGCATATGTATTAATACAAAGAAAAAAGGTGACTGAAATACCAGTCAAAGGGCAGCTGTTTTCACAGGACACGTGGTGTATCAAAAACAATTAAGTTAAATTATTATTATTATTATACAGGATTTATATAGTGCCAACGGTTTGCTCAGCGCTTTACATTATAGTGGGAGACAATACAGTAACAATACAGTTCAATACAAGAGGGAATAGAGGGCCCTGCTCCTTGGAGCTTACAATCTAGGAGGGCGGGGTGAGTGGTACAGTAGGTAGTCACTGTGGGGGATGGAGTGGTTGGAAGAGTAGAGGATACCAGAATTAGCAGAGGGCGGGATAGGCTTCCCTGAAGAGGGAGGTTTTCAGTGAATGCCGAAAGGCAAGTAGAATAGGTGATAATCTGATAGATTGGGGTAGGGAGTTCCAGAGGTTGGGTGATACCCTGGAGAAGTCTTGGAGACGAGCATGGGAGGAGGAGATAAGGGATAGGCGTAAGAGGTCTTGCGAGGAGCGGAGTGTACGGTTTGGGTGATATTTAGAGATAAGATCGGTTATGTAAGTTTGGGCAGTGTTGTGGATGGCTTTATATGTCATTGTCAAAATTTTTAATTTTATCTGTTGGGCAACTGGGAGCCAGTGGAGGGATTGGCAGAGAGGGGTGGTGGATACAGAACGGTTAGTGAGGTGGATGAGTCTTGCAGCAGCGTTCATGATAGACTGGAGGGGGGATAGTCTACGATGAGGTAGGCCAACGAGGTGGGAGTTACAGTAGTCGAGGCGTGATATGACAAGGGAGTGAATGAGTTGCTTAGTGGTTTCCGGGGTTAGGAACGGTCGTATCTTGGAGATGTTGCGGAGGTGAAGTCTACATGATTTTGTCAGCGATTGGATCTGAAAGGACAGATGGGAGTCTAGGATTACCCCTACTACTCTGGTGTGAGGGGATGGACTGAGGATGGTGTTAGCTATATTTATGGTGAAGTCAGTATGGGTAGCGCGGGCAGGGGGGAATACTAGGAGCTCAGTTTTGGAGAGGATGAGTTTGAGGAAGTGGAGTGCCATCCAGGCCGATATGTTGCTTAGTAGGCTAGCGATACGGGTGGAAACTGAAGGGGTGAGGTGAGGAGTAGACAGATTTATTTGCGTGTCATCAGCATAGAGATGATAGTTGAAGCCATGGCAGTTTATCAAGTGACCTAGGGAGGAGGTGTAGATGGAGAAGAGAAGGGGTCCAAAGGACAGAACCTTGGGGGACCCCTACAGAGAGAGGGCATAAGAAGGAGGTGGCAGTGTTATAGGTAACACTGAAGGAGCACTGTGATAGATAGGAGGAGAACCAGGAGAGAGCGGAGTCGCTGAGGCCAAAAGAGTGTCGTTTTGAGGAGGGGATGGTCAACCGCGTCAAAAGCTGTGGAGAGGTTGAATAGTAGGAGTATTGAATAGTGGCCGTTGGTTTTTGCAGTTAGTAGGTCATTAGAGAGCTTTGGTAGGGCAATTTCGGTGGAGTGTAGGGGGCGAAAGCCAGACTGTAGGGGGTCGAGAAGGTTGTTGTCATTGAGGTGGGAGCTCAGACGATTGTAGACTAAGCATTCTAGGAGTTTAGAGATAAATGGTTAAATGGTTAAGTTAAATTAAGTAAACAAAAACAACAAGAAGTGAGAGGAAATCCCTGCAAATTCTAGGTTTTTTTTATTTTTTGCGCTATAAAAAAAAAAAAAAAAAAGACCAAAAATGTCAGAAAAAAAAATTAAATTTTTTTATTTTTGGTTATAAAAAATATATAGTAAACTCAAAGTTAACAAATAAATTTAGGACAAAATGTACAGTATTCTGCTACATGTCTTTGGTAAAAAAAATCCCAATAAGTGTATATTAATTGCTTTGTATGAAAGTTATAGCGTCTACAAACTATGGTATAGCTATAGAATTAACACCATTTTTTGCTATACAGCACTGCGCTAGTTTAACTGACAATTGTGCAGTCATACAATACTGTGCATAAATGAAACTTATGGTATTTTTCACACAAATAGAGCTTTCTTTTGGTGGTATTTGATCACCTCTGCTTTTTTTTTTTTTTTTGTGCTATAAAAAAAAAAAAGAGAAAATTTTGAAAAAAAAAAGATATTTTCTCATTTCTGTCATAAAAAATATCCAATAAACTCAAATTTCATCATAAATTTTGGACAAAATGTATTTTGCTATATGTCTGGTAAAAACAATCATATTAGGTGTATATTAATTGGTTTGTGTGAAAGTTATAACGTCTACAAACTATGGTATAGAATGGAATTTACCGTTTTTAACTTTCTGACTGCCTATCACATTTCTTTGTACTAAAATGTCAGAGCAGTAAAAACACCCCCAAGTGACCCCTTTTCAGAAAGTAGACACCCTAAGCTATCTGCTGATGGGCCAGTTGAATCCATGGAAGATTTATTTTCTTTCCACAAGTTTTTGGAAAATGATAAAAAAAAATAATTTTTACCCAAAGTTGTCACTTAAATTATATATTTCTCACACAAGCCATGGGTATATGTGGAATTACACCCCAAAATACATTCTGTTACTTCTACCAAGTATGGGGATACCACATGTGAGACTTTTTGGAAGACTAGCCACATACAGGAGCCCGAAATCCAATGACCATTTTGACAACCTGAAGGTGCATAACTCCATTTCACTTCCTCACTATCTATCACAGTTTCAGAGGCCCTGAAATGCCAGGATAGCACCAAAGTCCCCCAAATGACCCCTTTTTGGAAAGTAGACACCCCAAGGAATGTAAAAAGAGGCATGATGAATATTTCAGTCCACACCACCCTCCTAGACCAGGGATTCTCCACACCCCACCCTCTCTCCTAGTCCAGGCATTCTCTACACCCCCTCCTAGTCAAGGGATTTTTCAAACACCCCCTCTCTTTGTCCAGAATTTCTCCACACCTTACCCCCTGTCAGGGCTCTGGGGTGTGACCAGAGGTATGTGACTGACGCAGGGAAACGAAGGCTTCAGATAAGTTATAAACAATATAATTTATTAAAGACTAACAATACAAACATAAACACAGTGCAATACTAAAACATAACACAGTGCAAACGAACCAAACCACCCACAGATAACAGTAAATACAATGCAAGCGTCGTCAGGCAGGCCGGGTCAATAACAATCGGGCAGGTAGGTACAGGGGGTCAGGCAGAGAATGGTCGGGGTCACAAGCCAGGGATGAAACAGGAGAAGTCAGCAGAGGTCCGGATCAGGCAGGGTCAGCAACGAATCAATCAGACAGGAACAGGAACAGGAACGCAGGAACAAGATACAGGGCCCAGGAAAAACACACACCAAGGCAGAGACTGCAGGTCTGGCCATCCCTTAAATACACCTGCATGATCAACTTCAGGTGTTTGGCTGGCTGCAGGGTTGAGTCTCTGATTGCTGGGAGCACCCGCTGGCCAGCCCTGGTACTGCAGCCCACAAGGCAGGTGAGTCCCACCATTACTGGCAAGTCCATTCCTGGCATTATCCCCCCCTCAAGGAGCGGCCTCAGGACGCTCCAAACAGTCCTAGCTGGGCAAAATGTTCCACCGCCCGGGTTTGGTAACTGGCGGGATATCAAAGACTGGCACATCGGGCAGGACTCCGGGCAGAGGCACACCGGGCTGGACTCCGGGCAGAGGCACACCGGGCTGGACTCCGGGCAGAGGCACACCGGGCTGGACTCCGGGCAGAGGCACACCGGGCTGGACTCCGGGCAGAGGCACACCGGGCTGGACTCCGGGCAGAGGCACACCGGGCTGGACTCCGGATCACCAGGCGGAGCAGCAGGCACCGGGCCACCAGGCGGAGCAGCAGGCACCGGGCCCCCAGGAGGGGCGATGGGCATCGGGCCCCCAGGAGGAGCGACAGGCGCCGGGCCCCCAGGCGGAGCAGCGGGCGCCGGGCCCCCAGGCGGAGCGGCGGGCAACGGGTCATCAGGCACTACAACGGGCATCGGGTCACCAGGCATCAGGTCATTTGGCTCGCCAGCGGGCACCGCGTCATCTGGCAAGGCAGTGGGCACCGAGTCACCAGGCACGACAGTGGGTTCCGAGTCAACTGGCATGACCACGGGCACTGGGTCAGACATTGGATCGTCTGACTCGACAGCGGGCATCGGGTCACCAGGCATCAGGTCATTTGGCTCGCCAGCGGGCTCCACGTCATCTGGCAAGGCAGTGGGCACCGAGTCACCAGGCACGACAGTGGGCTCCGAGTCAACTGGCATGACCGCGGCACTGGGTCAGACATTGGATCGTCTGGCCCGACAGCGGGCATCGGGTCACCAGGCATGACAGCAGGCACTGGGTCATCAGGCATGGGATTGTCTGGCTCGACAGCGGGCATCGGGTCACCAGGTATGACAGCGGGCACTGAGTCACCAGGCATCAGGTCATTTGGCTCGCCAGCGGGCACCGCGTCATCTGGCAAGGCAGTGGGCACCGAGTCACCAGGCACGACAGTGGGCACTGGGTCAGACATTGGATCGTCTGGCCCGACAGCGGGCATCGGGTCACCAGGCATGACAGCGGGCACTGGGTCATCAGGCATTGGATCGTCTGGCTCGACAGCAGGCATCGGGTCACCAGGTATGACAGTGAGCTTCGAGTCACCAGGCATGACCGCGGGCATGGGTCAGACATTGGATCGTCTGGCTCGACAGCGGGCATCGGGTCACCAGGCATGACAGCGGGCACTGGGTCATCAGGCATTGGATCGTCTGGCTCGACAGCGGGCATCGGGTCACCAGGTATGACCGCGGGCACTGGGTCATCAGGCATTGGATCGTCTGGCTCGACAGCGGGCACTGGGTCATCAGGCATGATAGGATCATCAGGCTGGATCAGTTCATCAGGCTGGGTACAGGCATCAGGCTGGGTACAGGCATCAGGCTGAAGTGCGGGTGCCGAGGCACCAGGCTGAACCACGGAAGGCAGGTTCTCCGGTTTGGATACTGGCAGGATGGTACTGGTTGGAAAGAATTTCCGCTTTTTTCTGGTTTTAACTACTGGGGCACTGCAAGTAAATGCAGGTCTGCAAACGAATGGAGCAGCTGAGGACAGAGAAGAGCTGGAAGATGGAACAGAGGAGGGAGCAGTTGCTACAGAGGACTTCTTTACAGGGTTAAAGAAAGGATAGGTGCAGCGAGTGGGAGCAGAGGACTGGTATGTGGTAGTTAGAGTATACTGGGCAGTCACTGGGGGTGCTGTCGGGGATGCAGGAAGAGTGCCTTGAGTGGAGGAATGATGTTGTAAGCTGACTGAAGCTGGGTGCAACAAGTCTGACCATGTCTGCAGTATGGGTTGAACGAAGCTCAGTTTACACAAAGCCTGTCTGGTCAATGACTGCACTGCGTTTATACAATCTCTTAGTATCTGTGGTGAACATGCAGAGTAACGCTCCAGAAAGTAATCCACATCATCCTCTAATAACCATACCAGGGACTCTACCTGGTCGGCACTAAATGGCGGCAAAAATTCATCCCTGCATTCGGGGGGTACCAGATGAAACCAACTCAGCACAAACCTGTATCAATGGCTGCACCTCAGAGAACTCTGTGCCCTGATCTACTAGGCAGGCAATGAGCGATCCGTATACATTCTAGCAGTTCATCCCTGGGATACTCCTTCAGAGTTTGATAAGCATACTCTCTGTCATCAAACACTAGCAGAGATAAATACACAACCTCATCCAGATACATCCTTCCCAGCAACAAGCCAAGATGGCTTCCCTGTGCAGCCACTTCTGGTCAGGATTGGCCTTGGTGTAATGTCAGGGCTCTGGGGTGTGACCAGAGGTATGTGACTGACGCAGGGAAACACAGGCTTCAGATAAGTTATAAACAATATAATTTATTAAAGACTAACAATACAAACATAAACACAGTGCAATACTAAAACATAACACAGTGCAAACGAACCAAACCAAACCACCCACAGATAACAGTACATACAATGCAAGCGTCGTCAGGCAGGCCGGGTCAATAACAATCGGGCAGGTAGGTACAGGGGGTCAGGCAGAGAATGGTCGGGGTCACAAGCCAGGGATGAAACAGGAGAAGTCAGCAGAGGTCCGGATCAGGCAGGGTCAGCAACGAATCAATCAGACAGGGACAGGAACAGGACCGCAGGAACAAGATACAGGGCCCAGGAAAACCACACACCAAGGCAGAGACTGCAGGTCTGGCCATCCCTTAAATACACCTGCATGATCAACTTCAGGTGTTTGGCTGGCTGCAGGGTTGAGTCTCTGATTGTTGGGAGCACCCGCTGGCCAGCCCTGGTACTGCAGCCCACAAGGCAGGTGAGTCCCACCATTACTGGCAAGTCCATTCTGACACCCCCTCTCCCTGTCCAAGGATTCACCCCCCGTCCCAAATCCAAGGATTCTCCACACAAATCTCCCCCTGTTCGGGGCTTGCAGACAGGTGTTCCCCTGTGAGATCAAACACCCCCTCTCCTTATCCAGAATTTCTCCACACCTTACCCCCCTCTCCCTGTCCAAGGATTCACCCTCCCCCAAATCCAAGGATTCTCCACACAATTCTCCCCCTGTCCAGGGTTTGCAGACAGTTTCTCTCCAGTGTAATCAAACACCTCCTCTCCTGGTCCAGAGATTCTCCACACCTCACCCCTTGAATGGGCTGCCATAACATCACACTTGTTATTGCACATCCTTTATGCAATAGGTTAAATGGGTTCTTGCTGTATCTGTATCTCATTTGTTTATTATTCATGGTCTTCCCTTACTTTGCTCCCCTTACTTCAACAAAAAATCCTATTTTACAATGCAAAAAAGGTACATTTAGAATGGCAAAAAATCCACATAAACACATTTAAAATATCCACATTAACCACTTGCCCTCCAGAGGATTTACCCCCCTTCCTGACTAGGCTATTGTTTGCGTTATGGCGCTGCATTACTTTAACCACTAGGGGACTGCCCACAGTACATATCCTGTGGCAAAGCGGCCCCTGTGCGCAGGATTGCATTTATAAATGTCATCCTGTTTACATGGTAGGGGGCCCACGCGAGACCACAGACCTGATTCATCATATACCCGTGTTCTCTGCTGCCATGGCCAGGCATAGAAATGAGAGTATAATGTGTTTTATGCATTTCAACGACAATACACTGTCATCCTCAGGGTGACCCTGAATTTGACTGGCTCCACAAAATGCAGCCCCTCGCAAATCCCCTTAACTAAAAATTTGCAGATGTTTATACTCCCTAGCAAAAAATCTGCGTTGGGGAGTCCCTCATTAATTTTTCTGGCCACCTTGCATTCAAACAATTTCTCCCCAGCATAATTTTTTTCAGCCAGTGATCGGCTTTCATGTAAAAGCAATCCTGGTGTATAATTAGCTGCAAGATTGCTGTTACAAGCAGTGGGAGATGATGCCCCCTCTCCCCCACTGCCTTCCACGGCCTTCTCGGCCAGTTCTGTGCCATCGGGGGAACCTGAGAATGCAGCCGATATTTCTGCCTTCTGGCCATAGAGCTTGATTGGAGACCAGAATGGTGCCAATCATCTCTATAGTCTAAGAAATCGGAAGCTGTGAGCATTTCATCACTTCAGTTTTGCAGGATATAAACAGCGCCATTTGTAAATTGGGAAAGCATCTGATCACACCGATCTTGGTTTGATTAGATAATGTAAGGGCAGAGGAGATATCTAGAGCCTGATAGACCCCGGATTTCTCAAAAAAGAATATATGACAATGCCCATTGATGATATAGGGGATATATGCATTCCCTGTGATAGCATTAAAAGTGTTCAATAAAAAAAATAAAAATTAAAGGGACAGTGTAAAAATAATTAAAAAAAAAACAAAAAAAACAAAAAACAACCTCACCCCCCCACACCTGTGTGTGCGAGCGTTGACCCTGTGGCGGTATGTAAACAGCAGTTGCACCATGCATGTGAGGTATCGCCGTGAACATCAGATCAAGGGCAGTAATTCTAACACTAGACCTCCTATGTAAATCAAAAATGGCAGCTTGTAAAGGCTTTTAAAACGTTGTCTATGGATATTAAAAACGTATGCAGTTTGTCTCCATTGCACGGGGCATGTGCAGTTTTAAATCATGTTACGTTTGGTATCTATTTACTCAGCATACCATCATCTTTTATACTTTATCAAATAATTGGCCAATATATTGTGTTTTTGTGCATTAAAAGTAAAATAAGTTTTTTTTTTTTATTTGCTTTTGACAAAATCTCTGCGCGAGTATTATGTGACATAAAAAATTGTAGCACCCACCATTTTATTCACTACGGTGTCTGCTTTAAAAAATATATAATGTTTGGGCGTTGAAATAAATTTCCTAGCAAAAAATACAGATTTTTTTTCAGTAGTGTCAGAAAAAGCTTGATCTTCACGTGGTTAGAAGAGTGAATGATGTGTGGCATAAACTTCTAATGCTGGACATAAAATGCCCCCCCCCCCCAAAACGGCTCCTTTTTGGAAAGTAGACACTCCAAACTATTTGCTGAGAGGCATGTTGAATCAATAGAAGAATTTATTTTTTTACCACAAGTTTTTGGAAAATGACGAAATAAAAAAAGGCATATTTATTTTTTTTACACAAAATTGTCATTTAAATTATTATTATTATACAGTATTTATAAAGCGCCAATAGTTCACTCAGCGCTGTACATTACAGAGGGGAACAGAACATGTGACAGAACAATACCAATACAATGCAAAACATGAGGGGATCGAGGGCCCTGCTCTTTCGAGCTTACAATCTAGGAGGGAGGGGATGGTGGCACAGGAGGAGATAGCTGTGGGGGATGGAGTGGTAGGAAGAGTGGAGGAGGTCGGCAAGTTAGCAGGGGGCGGGGTAGGCTTCCCTGAAGAGATGGGTTTTCAGGGTGTGCCTAAAGGAGAGGAGAGTAGGTGATAATCTGATGGGTTGGGGCAGGGAGTTCCAGAGGATGGGTGACACCCTGGAGAAGTCCTGGAGGCGGGCATGGGAGGAGGAGACCAGGGAACTAGAGAGAAGGAGGTCTTGTGAGGAGCGGAGTGTGCGTGCTGGGGCGGTACTTGGATATTAGGTCAGTGATGTAGTTCGGGGCAGTATGGTGGACAGCTTTGTACGTCAGCGTTAGGATTTTGAATTTGATCCGTTGCGCAATCGGAAGCCAGTGGAGGGATTGGCAGAGGGGGGTGGCGGAAACGGAGCAGTTGGAAAGGTGAATGAGTCTGGCAGCCGTATTCAGGATGGACTGAAGCGGGGATAGCCAGCGGCGAGGCAGGCCAGTGAGGAGGGAGTTGCAGTAGTCGAGTCGTGATATGATGAGGGAGTGGATGAGCTGTTTAGTGGTTTCTGGAGTTAGGAACGTGCGGATTTTGGCGATGTTGCGGAGGTGGAGTCTGCACGAGTTTGTTAAAGAGTGGACTTGGGGCTGGAAGGATAGGTTGGAGTCCAAAATGACACCAAGTACTCTGGCCTGCGGGGCAGGTTTGATGGTGGCGTTGTTGAACATGATGGAGAAGTCAAAGATGGGGGGTGGTATCCGGGCTGGAGGGAAGACAAGAAACTCGGTTTTGGAGAGGTTCAGTTTAAGGAAGTGGAGCGACATCCAGGACCCCAAAATCCAATTTAAATGATTTACTGCTCACACACGCCATGGGTATATGTAGAATTACTCCCCAAAATACATTTGCTACTTCTCCCGAGTATGGGGGTACCACATATGAGAGACGTTTTTTGCAGTCTAGCCAAGTACAGGACCCCAAAATCCAATAAGCATCTTCAGGCTTTTAAAGGGCTTTATTTCCTCATTACACTTCCTGACTATAAATGCCAGCATAGCACCAAACCGCCCCAAATTACCCTTTTTTGGAAAGTAGACACCCCAAGGAATTTGATAAGAAGCATTTTGAGTATTTTGCAGATCTCATTTGTTGCAA